CTGCTGGGCCGCTGCAGCTGGGCTGCTGCTGGGCCGCCTGGGGGCCACAAGCGCCGCAGCTGGGCGGCTGCTGGGCCGCCGTTGGGCCGCTGCTGGGCCGCTGCTGGGCCGCTGCTGGGCCGCTGCTGGGCCGCTGCTGGGCCGCTGCTGGGGCGCTATACGGCCGCCGCCGGCCCGCCGTCTCAGCACAGCNNCTGCTGGGCCGCTGCAGCTGGGCTGCTGGGCTGGGCCGCTGCTGGGCCGCTGCTGGGCCGCTGCTGGGCCGCTGCCGGGCCGCTGCTGGGCCGTTGTCTCAGCAGCAGGGGGCCGCAGGACAGCCTGATCGGAGGCCCTCCAATTTTGGTGCGTTCCCCCGCCGAATTCAGAATTCGTTTTGAGGGATTTGCCGGAAGAAACGTAATGTGTAGGAGGCCGTAGCGCGCCTCATTTTTTTTGCATCTGGAACTCTGTGGTCCGATCGTGGGCCAATTGTGGGCCAATGGGCGCGCCGCTTGGCCGCTGGCCTGGAGTGGGGGGACAGGCGGATGAGCTGCTGCCCGGAGTGGGGGGACAGCCCAGCTGCCCTGCGGAAGTGGCGGCGGCTGGAGTGGGGGGACACTCCAGCGGGCGCAAGTTTTAAAGTGTGGCTATAGTGCCCCCTATGCTGTCTGTAGTTGGAGGCTTTGCCCTAAGAGAGAGACTTTTTCTTCATTTTGCCGTTTTTAAGAACCGAAGAGTTTTCATGTGGCTTTCTCACTTTTGTTTTCCCACTTTCATTTTTTGCTTCGCTTTTCTAGGCCAAAAAATCGTCCAGGTTTCTTCTTCGGCAGACGTCCCCCTTCGTCCTCGCTTTGAATTCCACCCCTACAACTTTTTCCAAGCTCAAAGCCCCCCTTTGTGGCATTATCAATCCCCAAGTTGGGTGCTCCTGTTTGTAACTGCCAAGCACTTCAACTTCAGCAAGTGGCACAGCAGAACGAATCCGTCCTTGTTCCCCTTGCTGCCACTATTGCACGACATACCCCCTTCATCCTCTTCGAAGCCCGCTTGGTCCTCACCTTCGCCTCGTTCTCACCCTTCGAAGCCTTCCAAGCCACCTTCATCCTTCGAAGCCCTTTGTCCTCACCCTTCCAAGCCTTTGAAGCCTTCGTGCTCATCTTCAAAGCCTTTGAAGCCTTTGTCCTCTCCCTTCGAAGCCTTCCTCCCTTCAGCCCCCCCTCCCCCCCGCCCCCTTCGACCCTTCACCTTCGAAAGCCTCGAAGCCTCCTTCGCTGAAGGGTTCTCGGATGCCCTCACTCATTTGCTTACGAACTTATTTGCATGAGCTTCACCCGTTTAGTGTTTTCCCGAAAGAACAAAACTTCCGCAGTGAACCAAAGAACATTTCATTTGTGGTTTTTCCTATGTTGCTTGCTCTATTGTGCGTGGCAGGCCAAGATATTACGACATTGTTGATAATCTAGGAGAGTCTGGAATGATCCGGAGGAATAGCAGGTCGAACGTTGCGCCTTGCTGGCTGTTGCTTGTGACTTGGATGTTGGTTGTTAGTTGTTGGTTGTTGTTGGTTGTTAGTTGTTGCTTTTCAGTTGTTGCTTTTGGTTGCTGACCCCGTGCTGCCTTTGTGTGGGTGTTTTTTTTTGCGTGCCCGCAGTTATATTAAGCATGCAGCCAGCGGATTCGACAGAAAATGACAAAGTGGCCAGATGTTTTTCTGTATTTGTCGCAAAGATTGCTGGCCTCGCGTCTCCAGAAACCTCCAAGCTTCGAGATGAATTTGGATCTGTTCGCTGAGAGCTGCAATGCATGTTTGCTGTGTTTTCGTCTTGTTGCTCATGTTCGAAAATCGTTCGTTTTTAGCAACACAGCATGGCTGACAGGCAGACAGGATTGCCGCTGCATGTCGCCACAGAGATTGTCCGAGTGTTCAAGCAGACGTTCAATCAAAGCGAGCCTGTTTTTGTCATGCCTAACGCGAAAGGCCGCAACGCAGGAACTGCACCACAGTTTGAAGTGCGGGCTTTCATCATGGTTGCCAGATGATACGCTCCTTTGTCTCACAGTTCTTTTTTCCTGTACCTTCTCCGCAGCTTGGACAGCATTTCGGACATCTTATCTTTTCAACAGCCGTATCAGCTGCACATTTTGGATCTTTGCTAGTTATTTGGCATCTCAGAAATGTTGTGTGCTCACATTGAGGTCGTACACTGCCAGGAGGCGCCGAGACTTAGCAGAAGGTAGCTTGTCGGTGGTGTCGTCCCAGTCATCGGTCGATGATTCGTATTTCTTGCTGCCTGGGCCGTGCAGTTTTCCTGGCGAGCTGCTTTGGATACCAGCATCTTTGGACTACAATGTCCGTCAGAGACTCAGGTAGAGAGTGTCTCAAGTCATCGTGGTTGCATCAAGCAATGTTTTTGTTCGGACGAATAATTTTCTGTCCAGCGCTGTCAGGTGATACTGGCGACTGCCTTCCAGCTTTATTTCTTGAGTGCTGGATGCTCATTGCTGGGGACGCCAGACTGGCATGCCGGGCCACAGCATCTTCCGCGGTAAGGTGTCGGTGCTCGATACCTTGTCTATTTCCACCACAGTAACGGCGAGGACATTCGGCGATAAGAAATACGCAAGCGCAGCTTTGTTGTCGGCACGGGCACATGAGTAGAATTTGTAACGAGTTCAGTTCTTGCAGTTCATTGCAGTTTGGATTGCTCTCGTGTCGCCGAACATGTAGCAACCTCTGTCTTGACTATCATTGGCTGATGTTGCTGCTAGGACTTGGGAATGTGCTACAACTTTGCATGCCGCTTGCGGCATCTCCTTGAGGCTTGTTCGCCTGTTCGCTTCAATTCTGTCACTGAATTCCTTGTGCAGGTGCACGTCCTGATAATGGAGTATCCCGGCTATGGAATATGTCCCGGTAAGCCTTCGGAGGAGATCTGCACTTGAGCTTCCTGCGACTGCATTTCGTCGGCAGTTTCCCCATGATTTGCACAGGACAGCTTCCGTCAGGCGTCTCAGATCTGCCTGAACTTCGCGAAGAAGGCCAAGTCGACAGCCGTTCACCGGGCTTCTGACGCTGCCATTTGTCCCATGCCGCCCATGCCTGGCTAGGTTCTTCGCATACCTTCGTCAGACATCATTATAGTTGGCCGCAGTTTGGGTGCTGCTGTTGCACTGCAAGTGGCTCGAAACCCAGTCGGCCCATGATCTGCATAGCATCAAGCTTGCCTCGCCAACGCATAGCATACCAGCATCCCAGACAACTGCGTTTGGCATCTGTCTTTGTTCTTCAACGGCATGCGTTGCGATTCAGGCCGCGACGTCCGCAGCTTGTGGCCTCGTTCTGATTGCCCCCTTCCTCAGCCTCCAAGATGCTGTGGGGCAGCCTCTTGGCACGCAGCAAGCATACACCCATCGATGGCTGACATGTACTTCATCATCATCGAGACCAGAGTCCCTTGCAATCGCAATGCCTACTAAAGCATCACCACACAAGCTTTGCCTCGGATGTAGATGCCCAGAGTGCGCATCAGCATGGAGCCTTTTGCATCTGGAGTGGACTCCAGGTTCGTTGGGCAGAAAGCCTCGAAGCTCCTGGTCAAGAACATCTTCTGCAACAGTGAGGTCATCAAGACGGTCAAGGTGGGTGCCGAGCCATTCTTGCTTTTGCTTGCTTTACTGGTGATGCTCGCTCTTGGCTTACAGCGTAGTTCACTTGACTTGCATCGGACTTTTGAAGCTCACACGCTTAGTAGGGCCACGGCTTGGGGCACGGCAGGCTCTTGGTGTGTGTCATTTGAGTTGCCAGCTTAGGAGGGACAGGGAAGTACCTCATTGCCTCATTCAGCAAACATCTGCTTGGCTTGTCCGACTCGCATCAAAGAATGCACTGTCCCCTCTCAACGTCTCTCCACTTGCCCAACCGTGGTGTGCCGGAGCGGCCCTTCCACCAGAGGAGGGCTCGGATTGCGCATGTCCAGGCGTGTAAAACCGCACCCCTTTGGAATGGTAAGAATTCTGTGGCGATTGAAGGGATTTGGATCACTTCGCGATTTTCCCGTGTGAGGCCATAAATGCCCAGTCTGGTTTCCGAATCAGAGGCCCGGTACACTTGCTTATTTTGCATGACTCTGAGCCCCCTTAGTTGCCTGCGTCTTGTAGAGCTGGGTTCCACATTGGGCTTCAGGGAATATTTGCAATGGATGCACATCATCATGCCGATCCCTTGAAACAGGAAGTGAGCAGATGTTCTAGTCGATTGTTCCATACTCCGGTCAGAGGCCTCAGTATCAATTCGCCTGCCAACTTCTTGTGCTAGGCAACGATTCGTGGCTACCCGTCGTGTCGACTTCAATCGATTTTAAATACACCTGGCTGCCCGAATATTGTTGAATAGAAGCCTAGTTTTGAATTCTTGTCTTCCGAAGCTGCTCCAGGCAAGATCACCACAACGACCTTCTTTCAGAATCTGCTTTCTAGCTGCAGCAGTTGGACGACGCTGCAGAACTCGCTGTGCCGGTCGTCAAAAGGACGACCAAGCAGAGCTCGTCTCTGAAGCTCGCTCGCTCCCGGAAAGCGACAATCCGGTCGAGTCTGTGGCCGCCGAGCTGCTTCTGTCCATTCTGCGCTTCTACCGGCAGTACATCTCGCCGTCGCTTCCACCAAACTGTCGCTATGTTCCAAGCTGCTCCAGGCACAAGTGCGCGCATTGTACTATACGGTTCCCCTCTTGTGGCATTCGTTAACCTCGCTTGTTTCTGGCAGGTATGGTATAGAGGTCGTGAAGAGGTACGGATCGCTGAAGGGCCTTATCCTCTTTCTCTGGCGATTGCTTCGCTGCACGCCTCTGGAGCCTCGGCAAAGGCATTACCAGCGCTCGCTTTGTGAGCAATTTTCAAAGACGACTGAGTTTCCCGTGGATCGCGACCGAATCGTCTGGGCCTACGACAGGCGCAGCGAGAATTTCTGCGGCACTTCCAAAGTCCATTGTAAAAAGCCACGTTTCGGAGCCAGGTTCTGCATGTCCGACGAGCCAGAGGATCCGTGGTTCATGCGTGGTAGGTGACCTTTTCTCTCTGCGCAGACGGGATGTTAGGTGCAGGCTGAACATAAGTACGGCACACGTGTTACACCATTTGCCTGTTACTGTAGTATATTATCATGAGGCCCGAGATTCGTTTGGGAGTGTGAGGAATGGCACGACAAGCTGTTTGGCAAGTCGGCCACATCAGACAGTTCAGAACTTGAAGGGCCCGAAGGACACCGTGAGCCAGCAGACGACAGCGAAGACTGCGATGCTGAAGCAAAAGGTTCCATGGGTGCGCCGCCTTCTCCTCACTCGTAGTGTGGCATTTGCTCGTCGGACTTCCCCTGACTCATAACGACGCATACGGCTTGCTGATGGCTTGAGGAGGTTCCAGTTCTCGTCATCCACGGTGACCGGGACATGCTCGTGGACTGTTCGCAAGGCATCGGGAAGCTGGATGTTTGCAGCTTGCTAGCGGATACATAGCGCTGAGCGATTGAACGATCGCTTCATGGTAAGCACGATGCAATAGCCAAGCTCTTCTCTGCTTCGTAGTGAGGGTCGCTTGATGCTGTTCGCTCCGGTCCTTGACGATCTGCATTCTCGACTCACAGATGTCAGAGTGGTGTCGGTGAAGTAGTGAAAGCACTCGAACCTGGGACGGGGTCTTCCTGCATATGCCTGACAGAACTTTGGAAAGTGTGTGCTTGGAGAAAACTGAGGCAGGCAGCTCTAGAGCGAGTATCCTTCCGAAAGGCCTGGGCTTAGTCAGCCAAAATGGCACAAGCCTGTGCAATCAAGGTGAAACGAAGCGCTTCGTCAGTCCTCCAGGAATGGGTGTGAAACTCAACGTTTGCTGCACGGGACCGCAGCCGAAAGAGGGTCCGAGCTTTTGCGAGGTCACAACGACGACTTGCTGGCCAATGTCGACCTGCTGTGGAGGTCCGTCACTTCGAAGGGACAAACTCGTGCAGCTGGCACGGCGCACGGCATGCAAAGGCCTATGATGGAGTTCTTTGCACTGCCGGCTGCGACCTCGTAGCCGTCGTAGCCACTTGCAGCATTCTGTGACTCCGCCTCGGAGGCAGAGTTGTTGGAACTCAGGACTATGATTTTCGACAGCTGCGTCTGCCTAAAGAGGCATAGCGACTACGAGACTGTGTGATTCGAACAAAGTCAGTGCGGTGCTGACCGGCAGCCGCCGTATGAGTTCGAACAGCTTTTGCGTGCATTCTGCTTCAATAGATCCACAACAAACAACATCAAACCGAATGATTTGCACCTTTCAGAGGTCGGAGTTCCGAGACGGACGAATTCACCAACATTAATGATTCATGTTACTACGGTGAGCCATGACCGTATGTTGGCCAGAGCCTGCCGCATCGTTTCTGCAACTTGTCTTGGATTGTCCTGATTCTCGGATCCCAGCGGCCTGGGTCTTCAGCGCACGAGACTCACACTCAGGTTTGTGGATTGTCGCAGCACCCTGCTCGCATTCCTCCCCGATGCTTTGGACTGGTGCCCTGGTCTGGAATTCAGCCCTCTGCGGTTGTGCCCTTTGGGGGGGGACCCACTGAGAAGGCGGGCACTCCAATGCGCCTGCCGCTGGCGAACCGGACTGGAGGATTTGCTGGCCAAGGCACCGATTTCCCGCGCCTGCCGCTCGCCTCGGTCCTTGGGATGCCTCGGGTTTTTGCCTTCGAGGTGCACCTTGATCCACGACTACGGTCAGCTGTCCGCAGGTGCATCTGCACCTTGCGCAGGCCCGAAAGTGAGAAGAATCCGGGCTTGGAGAGTTTTCCAGTGAGCAGTCGGCAGGCTGCCTCGAGATGATCTCTTAGGGGACCGTGTCCAGTCTGCGGAACTCAGCGTGGAAAGCGAGCGCTTCTTTGTGACGCTGCTGGGCGCGCGGCCCAAGGGCGTGCAGGGAAAAGTCAGGTGCCGAGAGTGAAGTCCTTTGCATATCTGGCAATGTTGGTGAAGGGCATCTGGGTTTTGCATCCCTCAGTGCAGGCTCTCGACTTGAGCTTCTGGCATTTGCAATTGATTCCGAAGCAAGGCCAGGTTGAGAAATTGCTTCGTCTGGTGTCTCTGCATCCTGGAAGCTGCAGGTAGAAGTCTGGGCCTTTGGCTGCAGAGCTCTAAACTCGAGCACCTGTCCCTAGCCGACTGTGACGGTGGGGCGAGGGCTGTGCTTTTCACTTACAGAGTATCGCCGATGCTGACATTCTCTGTTTGTCACGTGGAATTGCTCGTTTTGTCACCACTCCCATTCTGAAGCTGACGTTGGTCTGAGCCACCGCCAGGCCTCCTGCAGGGCGACGGCCTCCACAACGTACTCTGCGGCCTGGGAAGTGCACAGCTCCAGCTGAGGCTCCATGCAACGGGTCTGGCAAGCATGTGACAGTCGTCCTTGCTACGAAACAACAGAAAGTATACTGTAGCTTGAGGCGTTCCTCCTGCGACAGGCATCTTAACCTGTGCGCGGCAGAGCTCTCGCCAGCCAACTCTTCAGCTCTCGTGGACATCATGACGCGATGCCCGCTGCAGGACCTGCAGCATAACAGCGAGAGCACAGCAAAGCAGCCATGCCTTGACAAATGCCCTTCGGAGACTTTGAACCTGGCTTTCAACATCCGGCTGATGACGCCGGCAGGGCTGGAAGGCATGTCCTTCATTGTCGCTCAAGCATAGAAGATGTTCCAGGTCTCGCATTCCTAGATTTTCCATCCCCGCAGGCCTTGTAAGAGCAGCGGTCAAGAAGGTGTTTGCTCTGCAAAGACTTGTCAGGACCCTGGCGTAGACTGCTTCTATCTGACTGTGGAGACCATGCCTGTAGATCAGGTGTTGAAGCATTGCGACATTGCCGCCAAAGTTGCGGCAAAGCTGGCCTGCTGGCTGAGCCACATGCCGGACTTGCAAGAGCCAGGACCCCAGACCACGGTACAGCAGGAAGCCATGCGGGAATTCATGACAAGTGGCTTCATCGCAGAGCTTCGATGCTTCGTTGTTTGGCAAATTTTGGCAAGACTCTTAACATCTAGCGACCCGATTCTGGCCGATGCCCATCGTCCAGGCTTATCCTGGACTGGAATGTGGCAATGTACACTTCCCTTGGGCTGCGCGGCCTGGTCCAGGGAATGAGTTGCATGGGCCCTGCTACTTGGCACAGGCTGTGCATGTCCGCCACTGTTGTTCAACCTCCCGTAATCTCCCGTACGTATACGTGTCTACATCTATGTATATATATATATATATGTATGTATACATGTATCATTTCTTGGACAGCTCGGCTAGGCAGAAGCTTCGGGCGCTTTTTCTACGTTGGGCATGTTGCAGCTGACCGGCTGTCAGCTGGGCTCAGGAGCCGAGGCTGGGATGTCCCATCGAGTTTCCGTATGAAATGGTGTTCAAACGCTCAAGTGCACCCCCTTTGCACCGAGCATGGATCGCGCTGATGCTGTGAAAGCGCTGTGCACAGCTTCCTTTGAGGTAACAGCGGTTGGTTTTTGAATGTGTACGCTTCTGCAGTCCAACCATTGCGTTTGGGAGTTTTTCGTGCCAGCGGTCCACTACTCGGTTGAGAATTATTGCAGGTTTCACCCAGCAACTGTCCCAAAATGCCCTCCGTTTTCGAGCCAACCCCAGGCCATGAGGTGTTTCAGGCGTGGGCCGCGCGGGCTCGTTTTCGGGGCTGCACAGGGGACTGCAGGAGAGACGTCTTTTTGGAGAAACGGGACGCCGATGATGCTTATGATGCCTGGTGCCGGGGCGGGGTGACGTGCAGCGGCAAGTGAAACAGGAGTATCGCCCATCTCCGTCGTCTTCCGCCCCCGCGCAGCTTGCAACCGGTTTGTGAAGCTTTCGTCCCCCCACCCCTGAGGGCGCAAGTTGTATTTCGGTGATGACATCTCGGGTTCGTTTGTTCGTTTTGATGCATGGGTTGCAGCCTTGCAGGGCGACAACTTGCAAAGGTATGAGGCCTAATTGTCAGCAGGCCTGATATGTGAGCCAATGTGACTTTGCTCAAGCTTCATGGTTTATATGATGAGGATGATGATGGTGATCATCATCATCATCACCGTCATGATGGTGATGAAGATGGTCATGAAGTCATGATGATGGCGATGATGATGTTGAATGATGCTGACAATGATTCACGTACACAGCACATACTCCCGTCACAGGAAGCGCTCAGAGACTTTCTTCGGCGCTGTCCTGCGCTGCGGCAGTTGGAAGTTTCGCAGTGTCGTACCTCCCAGCGCATCTGGGCGGAGCTCGGCCATTGTGGAGGGAAAGGCCCTCAAAGCTGCGGCAAGAACCCTGGCTTTCTACAGGCTATGAGGCCTGGTAGAGTGTTGGCCGGGACCGAAGATGTGGGGGGAGACTGGGAAACCCTGAGGCAATCAGCGGTGAGAGAGTGTCTACGGTGTCTGCTTCCTGGACCGGCTACTGCTCTGCAAGTTTAAGTGTGGCTCTGTGGATGCACAGCCTCTCGTCTGTGACGGTGCACGTGTGCAACCAATGCAGGACCACTGGATTGGCGAGCGATGCAGATTGCATGCCGATGGGGAGACGGAACCTCAAATGGGCCCCTGTCCGAGGTACGGGCATGCCCACGTCACGTGCCTATTCTGACTTGGTTGCCTCAGTTCTCTTTGCAATTTGCAGTTGGCAGGTTCACCGACGGCCGCGCCTGCGGTCAACAGCTGTTCAAATGGCCCGGCGCCTGCGGGGCTTAGGCGACCTCCTCGGAGCCGCAGCCCTGAAACATTCAGCAGAGGACGAGAGAGGGAGAGGGAGAGATGATAGAAAAAGGAGGGGACCATGTGAGCTGGCCACAAAGCTGCACGAGGAGCTTCGGTTTGCAGTAGAGATCCTGGGCGCCAGACCACGGCAAGCTCCGCGTGTTCGACTTCCCGAGAGCCTGGGCAAGGACAGGTGAACCAATTCAGAAATCGTGTTTCATAAGCAAACGAGGCCTAGTGCATGTATCATAGCTCAGGATCCAAGCGTTGGACCTGAGCCACGAGCATTTGCTCACAGGCTTGGGGTGCTGAGTGGTGGCAAGGCTTTGAACATAAGAAGTGCTGGCTGCCTGAGGTGGCCAGATGCTCGCACCCCTGCAGGGACGCGCACTTGGAATCTTTCTTCGGCATTGCCCGCAGCTCCAAGAGCTTTGCTTGCTGGGCGACCCGGTTCTGATTTTCGTGCACAGTCTGTCGTGTAGCAGCCTCGTCCAAAGTAGGGCTCAATTGCTGGAATCATTGGGTCGTTGTGTAGCTCTTCTGAAGTTGCATGTTAAGCCCAGCTGACGAGGACACGCTCAGCTCTGCACAGCTGCGGGCTTGGAAGGCTTGATGAAAGGTCTCGCAGAAGTTCGCCTTCCACTCAGGCCGGGAGAGTTTTCACAGCAAGAGTTCCTGCTGATGGTGCGTATGTCGAGGTCGCTGCACTTTGGAGGCTGTGGAGTCACTGAACACGTGGCTCCCCATCTTGGCACATTGGCGATAATTGTTCACGTCGTGCAGTTGCATCGGATGTTGAGTTGCTGCACAAGGCCGGTTTCTACGTCAATGTCCGGAGCTGGCTTCTCTGAGCCTTGCCGGTAGCTGGCAGCTTTGCACGGCAACCGGTCTCCGCGTCCTCACCGAGATCTGGGGAATGGAAGGAGTCCTGGCTTGATTGGATCTCAAGGTTTTGTCGGCCTTTCTAAAATTCCTCAGCCTGTCTGCGGCAAAGGAGGCTCTCTGCGCCTCGAAGAGCTGAACCTCACGAACTGCCGCCTCGGCGCTTCTTCGGCGGAAGCTCTGGGAGAGCTGCTCAGGACTTTTGCCAAAAGAGGCCCAGAGCTGGCCAACGCCGCTTACACTGCTTTCAGGAAGTGCTGCTTCCTCACCAAGTTGGTGCTGTCGGGAAACCAGGCGCCTGGGCAGACAGCCCCTCAATGCAGGGCCAGTTCCTAGGAGCGTTGCAGGACTTGTTCGACGCTTCTGCGATTGCCTACCTGCTGAAGGGCTTGGCGGACGGAGGCAGAGCATCTGATGCAGGGCCGCTATGGATTCGCGCAGCCGCGCAGCTGCGGATGCAGGCTTTCCAAGACTGCGGGAGATCACAACTGGGCCTCAGCTCCTCGAGGAAGAGGCCTTCAGGAAGGCGAGCCTTGGCCGCTGCGCTCGCAGGCTGCACATTGATGCACTCCCATCCTTGGCCAGGAGTTCAGCTTCTTCTTGCGCCGCTGTTCGCTGCTTCGTGCCAGAAGCAAAAAAGATGCCCCGTTGTCAGACGGTTTTGGGATCTCTTCATGGTGCAGCAGACGGCAGCACTGCAATCAGGCCTTCGACAAGCACCTTTGCCCCCTGTACCATGGAGTGGTGGAGGCCTTGTGCAGATGCAGCTTTTGCGCTTCCACACGAAAGTCGAGTACGGAGCAATGTGCAGATGACCAAGCACGATCGGCCTCTCCCTGCTTCAACGGGCGACGAGGCTCAGGAGAGCAAAATACAGTACCCCCCATTGCAGATGTGATTCTGCCACAAAGCATGACACCGCCATGTGCAGGAAGTCTGGGGCTCTGATGTGCCGAGGCTGACTCAGAGGGATTGGGACTTGGGGGGTTGGGCCTTCGCAATCGCCTCCGACAGGCCAGCTGAGGGACTGAGTCCCTGCCGAGGCCTCCTGTCTCTGTCGCTGTCTGTGTCTCTGTGCCCGTATTTGCAATACCTGCTCCGTGGCTCTCAGAAAGTCTGTGTCTGCGACTTTACAATGCCCTTCCGTTTTGTGCAGGGCCCAAGGTCTGCGACGACAGATGCAAACATGTGGCCGCATTCCCAGCCTTTGCAAGCGCCACGCTTCATGGCACGATACAGATGTGAAGGTTGGTGATCTCCAGCCACCGGAAGCTGATTGTGACGAACTCCTCAGGCCATCTCATCCCAGAGAGTGCTGTTTTTGAAAGACCTTGGGCCTTCCCAAGGCACTCCCAGGAGGACTCTGCAGGCTCATTGGACGCCTTGTCTCAAGAGCTGGAGCACGTGTCTGCGACGGTCAGACAGGAGCGGAGCCGGACCTGAATGTGGGAATCAGCAGATACTTGGCGTGCCAGTCTCAGATCTTCTTGCAATCTATGGCTCAGTTTTGTTCGACACGGCGCACAGTTCCTACGCGCGTGTACTCTTTGCATGTCCGCAGTCACGGATGCAGAAGCCAGGTTTGCCGACTCAAGCGGCTTCAGCGCGAAAGTTCTGCCCTCAAACATTGACATCATAAGCCAGACGCATGTGTGGCCCATTTGCAAGATTCTGCATTATTCTGCAAGGTTGTGAGCACGAGCGGTAGCGGCGGTTCTTCCCAAGTCCCAACCGTGCCTATGGGTAGCGGTAGAGAAATCTCAGAAGTGAGCTGCTCAAAGCCAGTGGCCGCCGGCTAGGATCGTTAACCGGACTGCGGGCGGTGCTCCAAAGCTGAGCGAGGATGAGCGATCGTGCCATCACAGCCGTTCCACATGACTTAGCAAAATGCAACAAGTTCGAGATATTTCGTCTTCATTGCTTGGATCTGCGAGCTTGGGTGAGACACTCACCCACACAGAGATGGAGAGAGATAGAGAGAGAGAGAGAGAGAGAGAGAGAGCGGTCAGTGAGCCTTTTACCAAGAAACGCCCTCTGCAATGGTCAGGGGCGCCGACCGGCGCGCGGGCTAGGGGGGGCAACCCTCTAGCCCATAGCCCTGCTGAAAGAAAAGAAAGAAAGAGCGGTCAGTGCGGAACCCCTCTACCCCTAACCCTGCCGAAAGAAAGAAAGGTCAGTGCGGAACGTGTCAAGAGTCTGACCCTACAACAGTCCCTGGAGCAAGACACCCCCTGACATTGGCAATGTCAGGGGAGCAGTAGCAGTAGCACAGTACAGAGTGGGATTCAGTACCATCTTGCCCGAAGAGGCGGGTAGCGGGGACATGCATCAGGGGTGCCTGTAAGCTCTAGACTAGATCAAGGGCAAAAGGTGCTGAAACCCACGTGAGTGTCACTCCGACAAACAGACAAGGGACTTCGGCGTAGCGGGAGAGCGCAGGGGTATGGGCCCTTGGGTCCTGCCCCAAACGTCGCGCAAGCAAGCAAGAGAGAGAGAGAGAGAGAGAGAGAGAGAGAGAGAGGGAGAGATGGTTCATTCTTGTGGGGGAGGTCACAACTTTCTGCATCGAGGGCCTCCTGGATTACGCCACCAAGCCGAACTCACAGAACCTGCGCACTGGGTGGGGGAGAACAAGACCTCAAAGTCCGTGATACTCCTACCGGGCGACATCGTGATGAACACCTATGCGGAGGGGGACGGTGGGGGTGCACGGTGCAAGCTTTGCAGGTACAGTGATGGTACGTGCACCGTGGGACTAAGGAAGGTCCACGATAGACAGGACCCACAATGTCGACTACATGGCGTGACCTCGAGAGGCAACGTGTCCATCGCACGTGCAAAGAAGCAGTCGGGGGAGGCTGCCAAAAGCAGCCGTGCAAAACAGTCGGGGGAGAATGCAGAAAGCAGCCGGGCAAGCTCGAGCCGCCCACTGTCAGAGATGACCGGCTTCGAGACGAAGAGGGGGCTTATGCTCCTCTACAATCCCGGACCGGGGGACGAATGGATCAATAGGTCCATCGTCAAAACCCGGGGGGGATGGAAAGACACTTCAACAGGGGAGATCTTCAACAAAGCACAAGCACAAGCACATGGAAGGTTCCTTCGGCGACACCGTGGTCGAAACAAGGTGGGGGATACAGCTGATAAGCTGGTCCGCATGGTGGACAAATATTTACCACTCCAGGCCGATGAGACACGCGCCTAAGTCTGCCGTTTCCCTGAGCAGGCGGAGTCTCTTCTGAAAAGAGTCAAGAAGATACGCAAGCGACTCCGAGCCAGCAAGGGGGAGAGCCGTGGTTCCACAACGCAGCCCTCGACTACAGCCACGGGGAACGCAACCAGGAAAAGAAACGGGGAAGAACGAACCGCTGTGGTGAAGACTGAGGAGAAGGCCGAAACCTTGAACGAGCACGCAGTGAACTCAGCGGGGGAGCATGAGAAAAAGGACGGAAGCCGAGCTGCTGACAGGCATGTGAGAAAAGATCGAGCCACCGACGACAGCCCCGATTGGGGGGGAAGCTCCGATGACAATAGACAAGAAGCTCACGACCAACAGTGGCCGTGGGGAACTGCTGGAAGACCCTCTGATGGGGGAGGAAGCACAGGTGTCCTCGCGGAGCGACCAAATGATCCGGTGGGAGGACCACCCCTCCGACAAGGGCCCAGCGCTGAGTATGGCGGCGGGGGACGCGCCCAGCTGACACCTAGCCACATGTGGCTGGATGTCCGACGAGTACAAGCACACATGGCCAAAGCGCGAAGAGAGAGAACACCGAGCAGCTGACGGGGGACAACACATGCTTGCAGTTTTTGTACTTGGGGGAGCCCAATGCTTCGTGGTATCAGCGGCGAAAAGTTCTGACTGCCATCTGAAGGGGGACGTGAGTTTAGGTGTGAACTTTTTTTAGGCTCTTTTGCCACTCTTCGTTCAACTTGTACATCGGGACACAGTGCCCTCAATCTTCGCTTCTTTTCAACTCACCTTGTAGCTCAACTTGTTCCGGCCAACTAACTAATTTGGGGGGAGCACTGCGAGACTTAATTCACCTTCTGTCCCTTCCGTGAAAGTAGCCAGGTCCTGTTCATACGTAACAGGGGGAATCAGCATGTTTTTTCTCGCTACCCCGAACAAACAACATCCCGCAGCTGATGCCTGGGCCCCCTCTTTAGTAATCTTATTGCCTGATGCTTGCATGGTCAGTTTCTGTGTTTGCGCTTGTCAGCTGGGGGATGTCTTTCCTTTCTAACGGCCATGCATTGTAAAGCCACCCTCCGGGGGCTTCCTTGTATAGCCGAGCCTTCTGTGGAAATTACCACAGGGGGAACTTTTCCTGCCAAAGAACCGCAGCTGCGCGCTCGCGTGCGGGGGGAATGGCCTTGACCTGCCCTGAACCCCATGGCTGGTAGAGAGCGAGAGAGAGGGAGAGAGAGAGAGGGAGAGAGAGAGAGAGGTGTGCCCACCTGGAGGGAACACAACTGCAATCCCCAACACGGGGCAGTCAGACAGGACAATCGCGCGCCGTTGAGGGGTTGGCCTTCGGGCCGGGGGTCGTTGACCCCAAACCCCCAGCAAGCAAGCAAGCAAGCAAGCAAGCAAGCCAGCCAGCCAGCCAGCCAGCCAGCCAGCCAGCAAGCAAGCAAGCAAGCAAGCAAGCAAGCCAGCCAGCCAGCCAGCAAGCAAGCAAGCAAGCAAGCAAGCAAAGCAAGAGCCCAAGAGCCCAGCATGAAGCAATTATCGAAGTCT